AGAAGTGTAAATATTTAGTATTTTATAAAGAACACGTTTCATTCTTCCACCATTCCGGAGAGGCAAATTTTTCATTCAAGTTATCAAACCAGGTGTCCTGAAATAAAGTTGTATTTGATAATTAAATAGCAATGAGATTTTAGCTGACTCAACCTGTTGAACAGTGTGGTGTTTCACCATCTACCTTCATAAAGCCTGCCAAGTGATTCCCCGTCTTTTTTCCTGTTGATACTTTATGGACAGAACTAAACTTGCTGTATCTGGAGAAATACTGACAGAATTTCATATGCATATATTGTGACACTTAAAAGACACTGTGTCTCATTCTAATGAACCATTTTTTAGCTTCTTAGTTTTCTCTGGGGCTACCTTATATATTCTTAGTAGGGAAACCAAATAAAAATAAGAAAAATAAGACCTAGTTCCTCATTTGGTAAGCAACTTAGTGTCTGATTTCTTTTAGTGGTTCCTGGAGGTAAATTAGGCTGCTGCCCAGGTTAAAGAAATGTTCTTTGTATTTATGTAGTAAATAGAGCTGAGCAGGCGTTTTTACAGAGCATTGTGCTGGGAAAAAATTCTCCAAAACACTTTATGCATTGTTTCTTTTGATTCACAGTGATTCCTTTGCTCTGTCCCTTCCAAAGTTCCTGCCTTCCAAACCTACTTACTGACATGCAATTCAAATTCATTATAAAAAAGTTTAGTAGTGTTATTAAGAAAAAATAACATGGGTGATTTGTTGCTTTCCAAATGTTTAATGTAGTACTTCTACACATGCATGTCCCTAAATCTGTGTGATTGCACACTGCAGACCTTTTAATTTTTAGTCCTCTGTCTACTCTCAGTTTAGTTTTTGGTTTTGGGATTTTGGTCTTTTTTCAGTGTTTTGCTCATTCCTCAATCCCCTGGCATGTCCATCCAGACCAGCAGAAATACAACATCTGCAGTCTCTTCCAGGGCACAGGGTCCCCTGAGAGAAATCTTTAGAATGATGTCATTCATTCATTTTTTAACAACATACAACACTGTTCTGAAGCATCTGTTCTCTAAATCCTGCTATTTGGACTTTGCTTCCTTTCTTGGGACACAATCTCTTCTTCTGACATATGGAGACTCAGAAACTCTTCACCATAAATCAAACAGAAACATGACTACGAGAGCTTCCTGCAACTGGAACAGTATCTCTTACATGTACAATGGCACAAAGTAGATCAGGACTGCTTGCCACCAATATTAAGCCTTCCTTAAAAGAAATAAAAAAAAAATAATAAATAAATAAGGTAGCAAGACCAAACACACAAAGAAACAAGCTTCATAACTTAGGCAGAGAAACAGAAGCTGTGCAAGCCTCTGCTGGAAACCCACCTCTGGAAACTAATAGGACCATCTGAGGGGAATTACGGTTCCCCTCTCTGTGCAAAGCCACTCTCTTTGCTCATGTGCTCAAGGCACTTGTTAATCCTCTTACTTCAGACGGGAAGGCATTAGTGCGTTAGTGTGTGTGTGTGTGTGTTTAAGCATGTAGAAACCACTACAAAAAGTACCAGCATGAAACATGCTACAGGAAATATTTATTAGGGAAAAAAAATGGGAGCAGTGAAGGATGAGCTGATGACACAAGCAGTGAAACCATTCTTCAATTATTTGTTCCAATCTGTACTTCAAATACAGCTCCCAGTACTCTCTGTGCCTGTTAGAAAATGAAAAACTGAGAAAATAGGATTATAAATCCATACCTGAACATGAGGTATTAGTGAAGTAGGTTAGAACAGGAACGCACGCCTGGAAGAAAAGCATAGGGAGCAAAGCTGGACAGCATCTGTACATGATCCTAGTTTATCTATCTAAGTTAAGAGAGGCCACTGTGGCCAGAGCCGTATCAAATGTCAGTTCAGGCAACTGAGCACTGCACACCATTTGAACAGAACAGAATACAAGCATAGCCTACCTGCTGAATGATACCTTTTATTATTCATTTAAAATCAGTAATTTCAAGACAATCCTACAGATTTCTAGTGAGCCATATAAACTGAGAGGCCCCATGTAGGTCTCAGATTCCAATGTTTATTTAGATCCACCAGTGTGAAATCACTGATGCTACACCTGAAATTACATCCACAGGGTAAGAACTTTAAACTTCTCTTTAAAAAAACATTGCGTTAATTGAAAGTTTTGTGTTATTACCAAGGTCCAGCTCAAGCCACAGTGACTTCCTCATGGAAAATGAGCAACCTGGTTTACTGGAAGGTACCCCTGCCCACGGCAGAGGGGTTGGAATTCCGTGATCTTGAAAGACCCTTGCAACCCAAACCATTATATGATTCTATGAAACAGGAAATCTCTGCTATCTCTCATTCTTTACAACTTCTGGCAAAAGTGTATCCTTAAACTTAATGATGTCATTTAGTTGTTTCATTCTGGTAGACTAAATAAAGCACTGAAATGACAAAGGCATAATGATATTCTGCATTGTTTTAATAAATTTACAATGTACACGGAAACAGAGTTTGGCAATCACAGATAAAGCAGAGAATAAAATATAAATGAGTCATTACATACCAGATTTTGCAAACTTTATTCTGTTACTGGGAGCATTCTCTGCAGAGAAAGGCTGTATAAAAATGGGTCTACTGGGTGTCTACTGAGAAACAATATTGCATTAGCCCCCAACACCACTCAGTTCATTTGGAAACTGGGCAATTAAAAGATGAGCTTAGATTTCTGCAATGGTCTTTCCAATGTTTGTGTATTCACAGCAGCACCCTTCATTTACAAAAATAATAATAATTAAAAAAAGGTTTATTTTTTAGAGAAAAGACACAAAAGAGAAAAGAACACAGACACCATTCTGATGAGTGAATTTGTGTATGTAAAAATTTTCAAATTACCTGAGGAAAACAGCGAAATATACTGTTCATCTGGTAATTTGATTCTGCTGCTGTCATGCTCTTTCTTTAAGAGCTCTTCATGACAGGAAAATTCCTTCAGGTTGGCTATTGTATCTTTCACGGAATTAGGACAATGGGGACCTGCTCTTATGTGAATCACTTGCTTTGAACACGTTAAATATTAGAAAAGACAAGAAGTATATATCAGAAGCAAAATGTTAAGCTGATTTGGATCCTTGAAGATGCTGCTATATGCATTTCCCTCTCCAGTCACCCACCTCTGCTCATCATCTCAGGAAGGTGCAAGAGACCCACCTCCTTTGCTGTGGTCTCTCTCACACCTCTCACACACTCTGTGCAGGGGTTGCTTGTCTCTGGTTATTCGCCCTGCTCCTATTAACTCTGCAGGGTCCACTCCTTATCTGGCCCTAAAAGGCTATAGCTGTAGCTTCAGAAAAACATATTTAGTCAGTTCTTTTAATAATTAATCACAACATTCACCCTTAAAATGTGCAATGAAGAGAAACCATACACAGGGGGCAACGTTTGTTTGCCATAAAAAAAAAGAAAAAGAGAAATATTGCAGACTTGCCTCTCCCCCCTGGTACTGAGAATGATGATAAAATACCCCATATCTGAGCTCTCACACCTCAGGAAAATTAGGTTTTCCTACATGTATCTGACTTGTAGAGTATGGATATTCTAATGTGTGCTTTTGGCGTGGGGGGCTGGGAGGAAAACCTTTGTAAAAGAATCAACACCACTTCCTGATTTGCTCTGTATGACTTATATTTTGATTTTTCAGCAACCTAAGTTTTATCTTCTCTTTTTTACAGCTGCTCACAATGTACCTCCCAGCAGCCATACATCTGGTTTGGAAACAGAAATATCTTCTAGGGTAGTGCCTTCCTGTCAGGATGTGATACATACCTGTTATCATACATAGTATAGTCACTTGTGCATAACAATAACTAACCTGTGCAATAGAGATCTGCTAAGTGCACTCTCACCATGCTACACTACTGCTCAAATATGTTGCATTAGTAAGGGCTGACCTAATTTTGAAGCTACCCACACAAGTATCAAATGGTTATATCAAACATTACCTTCTAATACAGTGTTAGAGTACCCATGTTTTACCTGGCCGCATATTAATTTCAAAGCCAAAACTAGCAAATACTAAGATAAACTGAGATGATTAATATCACGAATCCAACATTTTATAAAACATATTACAGGTGCAGAAGCCTCAAGAGACCTGACCATGTTAGCTAAATTTTCACTGTATAATCCAATTAACTGAGAAGTTCTAAGAATAAAGAAGACTTTTCAGTTTAATGCAACCTTTTTTCATCACAAAGTTGATTCAACATATTTTGCTTTCCAGTTACAAATGCCTCTAAAGCAGCTTCAGTGGGCCATGCAGTAGTAGCAATACTTTGTGTGCTGAGACTAAGAGCCCTCCTGTAATTTTTTTTTCCAAAACAATTATCTCCTAGGAAAGCACATTTTAAAACACTTTCAGAAACACCCTCAAAACTATGCCACTTTGGAAGCAAAGAGATAATCATCATCAGAAAGTTTCACTGATTCTGTCTGCTCTGCCAGTCTTTAACTAACCTGCTCCTGTGTACACCTTTCAACAAACCAAGGTATTTTTTGGCCGCTCACATACTGCTCCACTTACAAGTTGGTCTGAGTGGTACCAGATCTTTGTGTGTTTCCTAGGACGAGGCAACCCTAAAGAAGGATAGCAGAGGACTGCTCACAAAGGAACACACCTTAGCAACAGACTCCTTCTTCATCCCTGGAAGTTCACGGCTTGATTTTTTTAAGACAAAACGAACGAACACAGAGGATACCCACCACCCCTTACTCCCTTTTTACCCCACTCACAGACCTTTCTCGACCGATAAAAACGCCGAACCGGAGCACAGACAATTTTGGTATCTTCAGGTACCCCCAAGGGGCTTTAAAGGTAGCAAGGGAGCTAATTAGAGGTAAAGTTGGGACTATTTCTGAATTAACTTTCCAGCAACAGCGTCTGCAGCCCTCTGGCAGATGCTGAGCGGCTGGCGCCACACCGGTTTTCAAAGCGGGCTGTCACCGTACCTTCAGAAGCCTGACGGAGGGGAGGAACGCGGCATGGCACAGCTTCCGGATGGTCCAGTTCAGTGGCCGGGGAGCGTCGGTCTGATTCATGACCCTCCACAAAATCCCACCGGGAGATCAGCCGCAGACCTGGCAGCGCCTACCGCGGAAACCGCCACCCCGGGCGCGGGCACCCCCTGCGCATCCCGCCCGCCGCGGGGCAGAGACCCAGGGGGACCGGCAGGGACAGGGCTGGCCCGGAGCGGGCAGCGGGCAGAGGGCTGGGCTGGGCTAGGCTGGGCGAGCGGCGCGGCCGTGGCCACCGATCGATCCTCCTTAAGCAAGCTGGCTCCTGCGTGGGAACAGCAGCGCTCATGCATACCAAATGCAGCTGGATGGAGGCGACCAGCCCGCTGCTCGGGGCAGGCTGCGCTGCTTGAGCGGAAAGGGGCAGCCCGCATAAAAAAACAGGCTGCAGTGAGAGCTGCTGCTCCTGCTCTCTCCCTCCTACCCTCCTCCGAGAGCAGCCAGGTTAGCCGCTCCCAGGCGCGCTGAGCCATCCGCCTCGCTCCTTCGCTTCCCAGGGCGAAAAGACGGGCAGAAAGGAGATAATTTAAACAAAGCAAGCGGAGGGGTACTTGTACTTTCTTTCCCAAAGCACTGCAAGGAGAGGGAAACCGGCATGAGGGGAGGGGCCAACGCTCAGGCAGCAAAGATAGAGAAAAAAAATATTATTCACTCTTGATTTACTGATTAGTGGTCCTAGAAAGCATAGATTCATTGATCTGGGATAGTACTGGTGCATTAGAGGCAACTGGCAGTGGTTAGAACCCGTATTGTAAGACTGCAAGTGTTAATATGTACATTCTGGCAAACACACACTACACACACACACACACACACACACACACACACACACACACACAGCGCAGCAACAACAATGAAAAACTAACCTGTCAAACAAGCCAAGTTCACAATTCAGCTCATTTTAATATTAAATCTGTGCACAGAACAATTATTTTAAAGCCATGCAATCACTATTACTTGGGGCAATACAAGACAGCAAATGATGTTTCCATTAGGTGCGGTAAGTGGCTTTCCCAGCTAATGAAGATCTTGAATGCCAGCTCTCCAGCTAAAAGAAACCTGTTCCCCCAGTATTTTTTTGGAGGGGATGAAGATTACATGAGGGAAGAGTTGGGAAGTGCAAAAGCAAATATCCCATAAAACAATGTGAATTTTTTATTTTGCTAGTAATGACCAGTTTTTACTAGCAAATATAGTAAGCATAGTAATAAAGTATAGCAATGACTATAGAGCAAAACAGCCACTTCTCAGTACAGTTTATGTCATAAATCAGGTTAGGAAACGTGGATTCTGTAGCTAGATTTCACTGATCTGCCATTTTCACATGGCGTTCCTTTTCATCTCCATAGTGCACATATTTTTCTCCTCTATTTTTAATTTATTCTTATTATTGCATATACATTCATCATCAACAGCTGATGAATAATTCTCCAAATGAGGGCAAAGAGATGAAGAATACTATTTCCATGAGGCTATGCTAATCTGCTTGGATCATGTATTACTGTCTATAATGGTTTGCAGTAGTGTCACAAATCTAAAACTCTCTAACATGAAACAATACTTCTGGTTTTCTTTTTAAAGTTTATTAAGGAGAAGCAACTTTGTGAAAAACAGGGAAACTTTAGCACCTCAGTCAATACCATCAGATTCCCCAAGGAAAACAGAGGATCCTAAAACCTCTGTTTTTATCCCTCAAGAGCAGGGAAGGATTGGTATTTACATCCTAGTCTTCCTCCCCAGAGGAAGTCTTGCCCTTGTACACAGATTGATACTCTCCAAAACCTGTATACTGGACCCCATGTAGATAGAGCCTATTTGCATTGAGGTGGAAGCCCAGTACCTTTATGCTTCTTTTGAACATACACATACCAGGCAGCTCTTCCCCGTACCCTCTTAAGAACTGTGTGAATGTTCTTGTTCAATCTCAGTGTTGGATAAAGTTCTTCTGTCCAGAATATAATGTCCCAGAACATAACTGCAAGGCTGACTTTGCACTGGAAGGGTTCTCTCACCTCTTCTACCCCACTGCACATGCCAAAATGATAAAAATTCAAAGGTGGGGAGACCAGACCGTGGGTTGTATATGGAACAGAATGGGCAGAACACCTGGAGCCATTTCCCTGTGAAAAAAGTTGTGCCACTGACTGGCACAAATGGTTATGACTGGGCAGCTAGGTTAAATTACACATATCTAAATGGCTTCTTGCTTGAGCTCAGAATGTATTTGTTTTATAAAAAGAGTAAAAAAACTTGCTGTTGATAGTGAAATGGAACATAAGTAAATTATTAAGTAATTTAATTATTTTCTGAAACCAATTTTACTAAGGCTCCAGTAAAGAGACGTAATTAGGTATGTAGAAAAAAATAATTCTGACTTTAAATAGCATGTACCTTAAAACACATGCAGCATAACTTTGCTGTTATAATGCTAATAATATCCAGTGATAAGGTTTTTGAGGTTCACAGTAGAAGGAAAGTAAAAGATTAAACAAATCAGAAGCAAGGACTTCCAGCACTTCTAAGACCCTGCCATTTTCCTATCTCCCACACTCCAAGCCATGCTAATAACATTTTTTTATCCTTGAAGATCAGGAAGGAGTTTCTTGAGAAGGTGCCAGACTCATCTTTACCTTGACCCTTTCACTTCTGTTTTGTATTAGACATCTGCCATAAACCTGACTGTTCAGTCTACGTGCTAGCAACAAAGAGCAATCATGGCATGCTGCCCTTCTTTTCAGTGAGTAGAGTAACAAATCTCTGAGGAGGCTCTAGAGCTGAAGACAATAAAGAAACATAACAGATAGCTTTAATAAACTAAAAATAGTGAGCCCAATGTATCTTCTAGCTTCCACAGAGCTTCCTGTCTTTTTGCTGTTTTACATTGCCTTGTGCCTTGCCTAGTCATTTGTATTTGCAGAGAGCGCAAGAGTACTCACTGCAGTCAGTGGCCGTGAGAAAGCTCTTACAGACAGAACATTACCATGACATGGGAACTTCACTTGCACCGAAAAGTCCTTGGGTGCCTCTCAATATATCATTTAATCTCTGCTTTGCCCTAATTTTAATTAATTTTAACCCTTATACATGTATCTTGCCTATAGGCAATACTGCACTGATTTTGAGTGTAAATTTCAGAAAAATCAAGCAAGGAGATTTCTTTGTCTTGGCAGCAGCCTCCGACAGTTTTTGTAAGTGTAAATGGTGAAGGATTAGGAAGCAGAAAAGCAAATTCTGAAAAGTTTTTTTTCAGAGACGCTGACAACAATGGTTAAAAAATACAGTGAAAGATTAGGTGGATATTGTTTGTTTTGTGCAGCTTTTTCTTTTCACTTCAGTGAAAGATTCAGAGTTTGAATCTCATCCTGTTCGCTGGAAAATCATGTGCTCAGCTTTTCTACAATATGACACCCATTAGGAGATGCAAAGATGTAGCAATCCCACTAGAATTTATGCTCCTACTTTGCTACTGCTAAAATACAGATCTGTCACTTTCATATTAAAACACTCTGTCCCTGAAGAGTGCTCACTGCACCATCAGTATTCACACCTAGTCCTTTGTCTCTTGCCAAGGAGCCCCTTTGGTATCACAAGAAGGCATAGCAAATCCCATTGCTTCCTGAAATACAGAGAGATTTCTATCATTCTTAAACCTATTGTTCATGGAAAGCATTTTTAAGAGCACCTCTTTGTAGATTCCTGGCATCTAGTGTGATAATAATCCTACACTTAGAAAGCTCTGATACTGTAAAATTTAACTCCTCTGATAATCTACAGAATGAAAAATGGCTGAGAAGCCCATTAACATCCAGACCACTCTCAGCACACCACTGATGTCCAACATTTTCAACCTGAGAGCATTTAGCTAAAAGTATTGTAGACCCAGGCACTACTCTTCTATCCTGCCTAGTTAACAATTCCTTTATGAAATAAGAGATTCTGTGTAAATCAAAAGCAGAAAGGGCAGGCAGGATGTGGAAAACAGAAAGGTGTATTGTCAGTGTGGTAGAAAGCAACCTCTTCTATGGAGCCACTGCCTAACTGGGGACAAACATCACATAGAGACAGAAGAGTTTTCCCATGATACCACACCCGTTTTTCTCATGTATATCAACAGATGTGAGACGAAAGACACATCTTCTTCACACTGCAGCCATAGACCCTCTTTGCCAAGGCTTCCTTGCTCTTGGAGTACCTTCCTGCTTCCCCAAGGGCCTGCATTTGCCCAACAGGGTAGCAAATACCAGACAAAACAGAGCTACCCTTGCACCCATTTGCTTGCAGTGTTCATCATGAGAGTACTACATAGACATCCTGAAGCAGAGGTGGTAGATCTTCATAAACCACTTTGGCCATCTTCTAGGTTCGTGGAAGAAACAGCAGGATAACAAAAGAAAAAGAAGTAATTTAGAGGCCCTTATTTAAAAGTCAAGAGTCAACAAAGCAGTTCACAGGTATTGTTAAGAAGCATGCCATCTTACTACCCACTTTGCATGTCTGTAGTAACCTATATAATAATGAAGAGTATATCAACGAACAGAAGCCTGATTTACAATGGCAGTAACTCTTCTTTTTTTCCCCCAACACACTCATATTTCAGTTTATTCACTTTTATTTTGTGTGATTTCTTGCAAAATCAGAGGATAGAAAGCTAGTGTGAGTTATAAAGTCTGGATAAACTATGCTTAATTTTATGCCTGCCATAACATCTTAACGGACCCAAATTTTCCTGAAGCTTAACTCAACTGATAATTAATTTATAAAATTTCTTCATCGCTCTCACATCTTTTCTAGCCACAGCATGCCTGAGGGAGTTTTTTCTGCTGTTATGTTTGCTAAGGTATTTCTGTCTTCTGCCACATAATCATACTCATTACTCCCTCTCCCTCAGATACAGACAAACATATCAAAGTAATGTCTACATGCTTACTAAATGTTAATTAATTTGTTCTAGATGCAGGCAATTCTGTGGACAGTTTCAAGCACATACATAAATGGTATTGTATGTAGCTATAAATTATGGCCTTTGACAAAAGACTGAAAGGACGGAATAAAAGGTATTATTTATGTTATCTTATCATAAGTGTGTGAGGAACATCAAAGGCCAGGTTGAATGGAGTTTTGGATGATATGGTTTAGTGCGAGATGTCCCTGCCCATGACAGGGTGGTTGGAAACAGATGATCTTAAGGTCCTTTCCAACCCTTACTGTTCTATGCTTTTATGATTCTATGATTATTTTATTCACATACTCACAACCACTTTGAGGTCATCTTTAACTGATCTGTATCTGGCTTTTTCCTGGGACAGCACTTATCTGGGCTACCACAAGAGATCTCAGGGCACCACAACACACCGCCTCTGCAGAGAACCAGGGGAAGTGCACTTGTGAGACAGCAGATGATCTGAGCAGTGCAGACAAACACAACACTCCTTTGTCAGAGATACTCTTCCACACACCCCATTAAATTCTTCCCAGTTCCAAAATAAGCAAGTGGAGGTGCAGATTGAAGTCAGACTGTACACACAGAAAATGGAATTTTAAGGTGGTA